GGAGCCCCGCCGCCCCCCCCACTGCGATAACCACAGTGCCACATGTACAGCTCCGTTCCAAAGGGCCCGAGGCTGTGGCCGCGGCTGTGTCACGGCCGCCAGGAGCGCCCGGTGCGGCCCGCGACCGTCTCGCCTCGGCTCTCCACAAGGAGCCTCTGCCGGGTCACACGCGGAAATAGACCGGGGGGTGCCTCTGTCCCGACAACCGACCGGGACGGGGCTCGCTCTGCCCGGCAGAGGCTTTACCTTATCCTTAGTGCCCATTTGGGCAGGACGCGCTCCAGCCACCACCGCACCGCAGCCCCGCGCACCCCCACCGGGCCGGGCGAGCTCCCGCGGTGTGTGTGTGGGGGGAGAACCGAGGAACCGGTCTCGACCCTCCCCGCTCCCGTCCCCCGCGGGCCGCGGCCTGCCCCGCTGCCTCCGCATTGCCGCGGGGCGGGAATCCCCCCCCGACCAGGCCTCCTCTCCCCACTGCCGGGCCCTGCGGCCCTGCACCGGCACCGCGCTCACCGTTGCTGTAGGGCTGCTGGCCAGCGCCGTTGTGGCTAGGGTAGCCAGCGGGGGGCCTGGCGGGCTGGGCCATGGCGGCGGGCTCGACTCGGCTGTGCCCGTGTGGCGGCGCCCGGCCCCGGCTCAGGGGAGGAGGAACGGGACGGGCCGGCCCCGCACCGGAACTACCGGACGGCGCGCGCAGGCGCACGGCGTACACGTGGCACTTCCGGGAACGGCGCGCTGCGGCAGTGGGCGGGGCCTGGCGTCTTAAAGGGGCAGGGACGGCGGTAGGGAGAGGCCACGGGTGGGCCTAAGGTAGGGAGGGGGACGGCACCGCACTGGGCCGGGTGGAGCTGGGGCGCTGCACCGGGATCGAGCCCACCGGCGGCGGTGGATGTGAGTGCGGCCCGGCCCGGAAGGAGCTGCCGGGGAAGGGGGCGGAGCGGGGCGCAGCCGCGGGGTTGTGCGTCTGTGCCGGCGGAGCGGAGCGTCTGCAGCTCAGGCTCAGCGGCGGTGAGCGGTGGTGGGGGGGGCCCGGCGGTTGGGCCCGGCGGGGCTGCGGCCTGCGGGGGCCCGGGGAAGGGGCCTTGGGCTGGTTCCCCCTTCTTGTTCGCCCCAGGAGAGCTGGGGCTGGGGGCACCGGGCCATGAACCTGCCGCAGGGGGTGGGCAGCGCCGTACAGCGCTGGTTCTGCCTCCCCTGGGGACTGTGGTGCTGGGGGTGCGGTGTCCCGTGGCCTGCAGGTGCTCCGAGCCCGCTTGTGCAGCCGCCTGAAGCATCGTAGCGGCCGGCAGCGGTTGTGCTCTGTAGCGTTATTTATTTGGCAATTAGGGCTTTTAAGGTTTATTGTTTTCGGAAGTAAGTTGCTGTAGTAGGCCCTACACTGAGCTGACAGCTGGTGCTGGTGAGCCGGGCTATAGCTGAACCACTGCATTCACTGCCTTTGACACCAGTGTGCATGTGGCTGTGCTGTCCTTGCAGATAAACTGCTCTTTCGGGTGTGCTTGAGATCGTTGCCACCTTCAAATAGGCTGCTCAGAGCAGAAGATGTGATAGAACTGAATGTAAAGTCTTTTCCCATGCAGTATCTGATCTTTCTGGTTGCCAAATGGGTTAATAACGCATCAATGTGACGATTCCTCTTTTTGAGATCTCAAAGATGACTTGCAATCAAAAACCTGGTTCAAATACCCAAAGAAAATCCCTGCTGTTCTCTCCCTTTCCAACTCTGTCCCTTTTCTCAACTTTTAAGATACCACATCCAAGTGCGGTTTCGTATCAGAAAAAACTGTGCTGTGCAGGGCAGATAGCAGCTTGTTCGCTGATCTTGACTTTTATTGTCTGTGGTAATGTTTTATGATGCTAAAATGATTATATGTGCAATTACAGCTTCAAGTGATCGAGTTTAGATCCGGCTTCTAAAACTGCAAGTCCACCCCAAGAGCAGACTTCAAGCCCTTGCCTGTGCCGTGTTTTCAGCTGTAACCATGGCAGGGGCAGGCAGAGGTTCCTTTCCTCTTGCTGTTGGCACCCACCAGGCGCAGCGCAGCGTGTTTCCACTTACTGCAAGAGCTGCTCAGTCTGGGTGTTCTGCTTCCTCATGTTCCATGAAGGGATTTAAACCTGTCTTTAAAAGCCTCTCTTACCTAAGGCTTCACAGGCTTTGGAAGCGAGTGTTGTTCTGACTGCTTCAGAAGTGAAATGATAACTCTTTAGCTAGAAAAATGCAGGTTGAGAGTACAAGGGGAAACTCTTTTTCAGACTATGAAAGAAATGCGTGAGTTTTCTTGCTAGTCCTCTCTGTCAGTGATGTTCCATTCAGGAGGCTCCCTCAAGATGTGCCAAAGGGTGGGATTTCCACATCCCTGTGGTCAGAAGTGGTCTCCCGTAAGCAACCCCCTCTCTTTGATCTAGGGAGTGGCTTGTAGGGCTCCATGTGAGCTATCAAATGATGCTTTGCTGATGAAATAATGGTAGCCAAAATCACTGGAGACCTTTTGAAGCGATAGCCCTCGGTTGTTGATGTCATGCCAGGAAATCAGCTTTCCTGTTTTGAAGGAGGCATCAGGACGTTGGCGATAGCTGTGAGAAGTTGGTATCAAACTTGTGCCCAGCCCCACGTTTCACTAAAAGCTTCTCCCTGCTTTTACTGATTATTTACAAGGCAACACTTGAAATCCTAGCATCACAGAAACAGCCATCAAGCAGTGTTTTTGTCTGCACTGTAGCCTGTGAACAGTGTGTGCCCGAGTGTTCATTGTTCTGCTTTCATGGTATTTTTAGCGTGAGCCTGCGAGTTTGAGTTTGTGTGTCCTGAAGAGCCTCAGCTCTCCCCTTAGTTTGGTGTATCTCTGATTTGGATGTGTCTATCAAACAGTGCAGTGCCGCTATGGCTTTATTTCATGGTTGGATTTGTCGCTGCTGTGAATGATGTGGTTACTTTTCCTGTATGATAAGGGCAGATTTAATATCTCTGTTCAAATACTACCCGTGTGCCTTTACCATTAACTGCCCATTTTTGCCTCGTTTTAAAAGCCTTTTCCTTCAATCACTGCCAACTGATACAGAGGCTGCTCCGGGTGTATTTGGATAGCTCTGTTTCCAACACGCCTTTCCTCGTGGTGATGGAAACTTAAGCTATGTTAATGCCACTTCAGCTGTGTTTGCAGAGTAATCCTGTCCAGCTTGATCATTTGAATCTTACCCCTTGAAATCTTTCCCATAACGCACAAAGATCTTGTTTTCTCCATAACTTGACTTGATGGAAGAGGTTAATAGGACCGAAGGCTCTGAAGTTACTCGCACCTCGGTAACCTGAGCACTTCTCTTACATCACGCTGTTTGCCCTGATTTGCAGGTTATTTGAGTCGATGGGGTTTTTCTGAAGCCCCACAGAGGCTTTTCCCGATTGCTGTTTTGCCCAAGCAATAAATAAATCTGCTGACGTGTGTGTTCTGTGTTTGCTTGTTCTTGACCTTTGCTTTTTAGCCGCGCAAGGGACAGTTTCAGTGGTGATGTTGTGTAGCTGGGTGTTTAAGCATGGCCAAGTGTATTTCAGTTGTATTCCTATAGCCTATGCCTGTTGCAGCTGTGTTGTTCAGGGTAATGTAGGATGTGGGCAGTGGTTTCAGGGTTACTTATGGAAAAACCGGGACTCCCAGAGCTTTGTCATCGGAACAGATTTGGTCACTAAGCTGTTCTTTCCTCCTCTTTCCATATTATCTTCCCATGACAGACCTGTTGTTTTATAGGGGAGAAATTCTGTTCTTTGTCATGAGTGTAATTGCTCAGACAACTGGATTTTGGTCTGGTTCTGACCTATATTTTGACTACCATGTGCTGTGCTCCATGTGCCCTCAAGTCATCTTCTGATGCTCCAAGGCACTGCTGCAGCATCAAAAGGAGTGTGGCCATGCAGCCTGCAGCTGTGTGGATACCTCTACCAGCTGCATTTAGCAATGCAGCCCAGTTTCTCTAGGGTAGTTGGACTCCAGCATCCCCTGATGTTAGCAGGTTATGCACTCCAGTAGGAATTAGCTGGCTAAATGCTTCTAAGGATGTTGCCTTTAGTCTTCTGAGAGGTTTTCATGGTAGACACTAATTCACTGTGTCAAACTGGTGCTTTCAGTGTGATTATCCTCACTCGAGATAATGAGGAAATTCAGATGAAAGGTAAGAAATTAATTGCTCATGTCTGTGCAGTGAACCCAGTGATAGCTTTATTCTTGTGCCCCAAAGCATCGCCTTGGCAGTAGTGACCTGTTCTTCTGGGCTCTCCAGGTGTGCTTATGGTCATCCTGGCTGCTATCAGCTTGTTCTTCTCTTCCTGAATCTAAGCTGAAGGAAGGAAACACGGTGTTTGCATAACCTTAGCATTTAAGGTTTAAATTCTGGCAGCCTGTGCAGGACACTACAGGTCTCTGAATGGCAATTCCAGTACTTTGTGCTAAGTACTTGTTCCCCATTACAAGCCAAACAGGCAGGTTTTGTGCAGACAATAGGGGTTTATTTGGTATCAGACTTCTGGGGTTCTACTTCCCAAAGCTTCTTCACCTCTTATTATCTTTGCTTCAGACCCCAGCAGCTCCCAAGGGTGGCTCTGCAATGACACCCTCCTGTTGCCCTCTCAAAAGTGCCACCTTCTCCTAGCTGGAAAGCGTATGTGAAGACCCCATCTGAAATCTTCAGTGGCCCATCACGCACTCCACCAAACTCTACTGAAGATGGAATTGTTTTGCCTTTTGCAAAGATTTCAGTCTGCAGAAGGCTTTCCAGGGGGAGGAAAAGGTCTTTGCTGTTGAATCACAACATCTGGATTCTGTCTTCCATTTCTGCACTAAGATTTCTAGTGCTTTGTGGGGTCACTTGACTGGTCCGTGATACAGTTCACCAAAACAAAATCGGGTTTTGTTTTTAACACAGGGCTTTGAATTACTTTTGTTTCCTATAAATAACTTATAATATTTAATATGCTGTTCTAACAAATCTTAATGCATTCTATTTTCTATTTCAGACTATAGGATTCAGCTATGTCCTTCATATTTAATTGGATTTACAGCGGTTTCAGTAGCGTATTACAGTTTTTAGGTAAGTTTTCCTTGTTTGGTTTATTTGGTTTGATTTATTTCTGCTGTTCTTGTCTAAAATGGCTGTTCCCCTGTGTTATCTTCAAACATAGCCACTGGTTAAATAATAATATTTGCTTTGGTGTCTATTCAGTAACATTCAAACAGAAGCTTCACTTATCAATACTGAGTATTTCCAGAGCATGCAGTCTTACATTAATCCTTTAACCTTGTGAGAAACCTGCATTTTCTTCCACGAATGTAACAGGTTTAGTTTTTCTAGTCATACTACATTGGTGATTCTTGGGGAGCTTCTCCTGGTTTTCCTCTGTTAGAAAGACCTGAACTGGGTTATTTAATTCAGTTCTTTTGCATATGAGGGTATCACTTCAGAATCCAAGTACGAGGGGCTGCCTAAAAAAAATAGGTGCTGGATATTGAAGCCCTTGCTCATATTCAGCAGTGCATTATTCTGTGACAGGTGTCACTGAAATCAGTGTAAACCCTCACTGTCATCTGCTGAAGAGCCTCAGGAAAGTATTCCCTGGCCAAAAGTGTCCACAATCCATTATCAATCCAAGGTGAAATATTAGCTTGTGCAAAACAGGAAGGGGGAGGAAAGAAAATGACCCCAAAACCAAGTGGACTATGAAGAAAGAGTGTTTAGGGTACTAAAACAAGGAGCAGAAGCTACAGATCACATAGGTGAAAGGCGCAAGTTGCAGACTCAAAGGATTTAATTGGAGTGGATAAAAAGCATTGGGCTGTGCTACCTGCCTTTTATCAGTTGAAAGTTTCAGCTTTGCTGAATGTTAGACCCTTGGCCTGCTATCGAAATATTAGCCAGTGAAATTTTAACTATGTTGACTAATCTTTCTTATCTCCTCTTCCTTACCCAAGCAGTGATTGCTGCTCACTGGCCCACTTGGCCATTCCTGTGCATGCAAAGGCTAGTTCTGGTGAAGGATGCTGGAGCTTGAAGTGGGAAGCAGAATACTTTCAATGTGTCCCTCTTATTTGAGAGGAATTGCTTTCTCTGTGCATTCTCATTTGCATTTACAGTTGAAGAAGGCTGATTATAACATTTGGGAGACTCCCTGCAGTTCACTGTCTTGTCAGCAGGCTGATAAGATCACTTCTTGAAGTACATCTTTGCACACGTGTGCTTTTAGGATGCATAAATCATCCTTTTATATATATATATATATATATACATAAACATAAACTCTGGTCTTAGTGTAGCTAATAACTGAAGTATCGCTGCTTGTTCATCCTGTGCTTGTATGAAAGGCACTTGGGAACAGGAAATGTTTCACCTGATTTGGGAGCAGAGACTCCTGGATGTGCAGGCTGAGAGTGCCAAAAGTGTTACTGGTTTGCTATGGTTTAGTAAGATTCTGTTCCATTCATAGGTGTGAGCTGGAGTTTCTCACTGTGGTGTAAGTTAATATATGAAAATGTTTGCCCACCCCTCCTTTCTTTGTCAGTGCTAATAACTTTCTCCTCCACTCTATAGTTAATACATATTTGGGTACATGAAAAGGTGAGTTTGGAAGGTAAGAGTCGTTGTATTTGAAAGAGGACTCTCTACAGTACCTGTAGTAATAAAGTTCATAAATAGAATAAGCTGAGAAATGTGTAACTTGCAGGAATGAATATTCTTTCATAACATTCCCTGCTGGAATGTGATCCCAGAGCTTAGCTTGAAGGCAGAGGGAGAGGTGAGCAAACAGCAGCAGCTTAAAGGTCAGCCAGGCAGAGGCATGTCTGCCACATGTGGCATCGGTGGGGCTGTCCGAGCAGCCACCTGTGCAACAGCATCACTTAAAACCCTGCTGGATAAAACATGTTTGAGGATAACACATTAAACAAGAAGAAAACATGAGGGCTCCAGAGACTGATGTTAGACAACTGTGAGAGCAAGGGATGCTGTTAACGTGCCCTTTGGACAGCTACCAGGGACTGTGGCGATGGGACATTTGAGCTTTAGCAATAAACCTGATTGTGTGCTTCACAATGTTTCTGTACCATCACAGTGATGGTAAACGAAACTTCAGCCTATTGCAGAGCACCATAATGCTATGACTATAGTAAAAGATCCTAGTGATGTAAAAACCTCCCACTTTTCAATATTTAGTTGTATTTTGCAGTTATTCTTACACAGAAAGAAGAGAGAATTCCGTTAGGACCAGAGCTCAGGTTTGATTTTGAGGAAATGTAACTTCAGCATGTACATAATACGTATTTCCTCACCCACTGTTGTGTGTTGTGCCCTCTTCAGAATGCTGTAGGGGTTGGTAGTGGTTCCTAAGGAGGTGTGTAGTATCCAGCCACAGGTCTTGAAAGAGGGAGTAAGGGAAGATTTTCTGCTTTAAAAAGGCAAAGTTAAGACACTTTATTACTTTAGCATTTTTCTCAGTACAGAACATGGTATTTAAGAAATGTGGTTTGTCTTTGCAAGGTCTTCCTTTGGCTGTCCATCAGTTTGAAGCCGTGAAAAATAATCCTGGCATAGGCTGTGGTGTTGACAAATTAGAAGAGAATTGCCCTTTAATAATGTCAAACTTCAGCAAATGTGGTGTTCATGTTTCAAACGTCCTTCCTCTCCTTCACAGCAACTGTTGCGTTCACTGGGCTTACAAGGAGGCGAAACAAAAAGAAAAAGTCATTTTTGTAAAGATGACAAGCAGTGACAATAAAATCTCTTATTGCTGTTATGAAAACCTTCCCACATGCCAGCAAGTGTGTCAGAAGAGCCCTGATGATGCTGTTCAGGTTATATCCACACCATTTAGCTGTGGGGCTATGGGTGAATGTTTCTTCTTGTCAAAATAATCATGAACCAACATAAGAATTCATACATATACTGATATGACTGTTATCATTGAAACCAGTTTCTCTGTAGTACCCTGATTGAAGCCTGGGCTTTATTTTTGCCTCCAAGTTTTCTGTCCTTGGTAGCTGAACAAAGCCTCCTCTGTTGAGGTCCAGGATGGTCTGTACTTCAGAGCCCACTCTTGGTGCTGTACCTGTATGCTCCCTCTCCACCATCTGTGAGCAAAACTCTTCTCTTGTTGGGGCAGCATAAGCTGCACTGCCAAGATCTAGTCCTGTTCTGCTGTGGTTTTCCAAAGAACATGTAAGTGCATTTACACAAGTGACACATTTATATCGCTTGCGTGCATCTCCCCTTCCTGCTGAGTATCCCCCAAGCAGCACATGATACACATAGTGCAGTAGGCACAGGAGCAAGTGTGAATGTAGTTCATATGACTAAGAGAACATGGATAAAGGGCATTGATAAAGCACACAGTGGACCTTGGCTGGTCTGGATTTTGTACTGTAACACTTTGTGCCTGGGCGTAAAATCATCTCTAATGCTGGAAATGAGCTCCCTCCAGCTTAACTGATTAGTCACTGGGTGTTTCTGTGTTCTAGGACTGTACAAGAAATCAGGCAAACTAGTGTTCCTTGGACTGGACAATGCTGGAAAAACTACACTGCTGCACATGCTCAAAGATGACAGACTGGGACAGCACGTCCCCACGTTACACCCCAGTAAGTTAATATCACTGATTCCATAGCTGGACGGTATTTGTAGTGTTGCAGGAAGTGCAGGATCTGTGTATGCATCGTAAGACTAACAGTAATTGGGGAGAAACAAAGGAATTTCTGGGATCTGTAGATATTTTAAGCCATATTCAAAACCAAGTCTGTGTGATAGTTCAATGTGGTGTATTTAAATTAAGTAACAAGTAGAATGATGCACCTGAGAGTCGAGGGCTTGTACTGTTTGTGAGCAGCTTCTCTGTGGAGCTGGAAAACCAGCATTGGGGTCATTTATGTATCCTGGTTTGACTTTTACTGGCTCAGAGGTTGCTGTGTAGTTGTTGTCCCGGTAAGACAAGAGGCAAGAGGAAAAGTTCAACACAGGTTAAAACTCTGTATTGGGGAAGTCCAGTAAGGAGGTGGTAAGTGGGGAAAGATGTGAAGAGGAGAAACCTTGAACAGTATTGCACACGAAATGTAACAAGCCAGATGCCAAAGCCAACTGTTGTTTGTCTAATGTGTAGGGATAAATGATGTATGAATATTCCCTCCTGTTAGCATTGTAGATATTCCACATGTGTTCTAATGGTTAATAACATGTTGTTGTTACACAAATGCATCACTGAGTTTGAGAGTGTGTTACCCTGATTTGCTTCTTGAATAACAAAATGCTAAAAAGAACCAGGAGACAAAGCAAGATGTACCTGCTAAAGGTTAGACTGTTCCCATCCACTGCATAATTCTTACAGAGAAATAATTCTGTTTCTAGCTTCAGAAGAGCTGACAATTGCTGGCATGACTTTCACTACCTTTGATCTGGGTGGACATGCCCAAGGTAAGAGAATGCATTGATTCACTTCACTGAACTGAGTTACAGCTGTCTGCAGTCGGCTTGTTTCACATCAGAGCTATGACCATGCTGCAGAGATTGACTTTCCACGCTCTAATAGCATGAAAACCCTTCATTGCTCTTTTGTCTCACCATTTGTCACAAATCCCAAATACAGTTTGGCAAGAGCTGCAATTGTTGGTTGGTACTTGTATTTTGAAGAGGGTTCTGTGCTTTGAAAGACTTGCCCTTACCTTTAAGCTTTATTGGTGTAATTCTTAGGAGAAGGAAGCATGGAAAGGTTCAGTGCATCAGTGTGCACATGGGATAGGGTGGTGGTAACTGTGGAGGGAATGATACTTTTGCTCCATTATTTCAAGCTCTGTAAAACATGAAATTGTATCCTGAAGAGTGGCAGCATAAGCCAAGACATAGAAAAACCCTGTTGTTTCTTAATTCCTGATGTGCATCACTGAAGTTTGGGATAACTTCCTTTTGTTTTTAATTTGCACCTTCCTGTAGCTCGCAGAGTGTGGAAAAACTACCTGCCTGCAATTAATGGCATCGTATTCTTGGTGGACTGTGCAGATCACGAAAGATTGCTTGAATCAAAAGAAGAACTTGATGTAAGTTTAAGGTTTTGGAACTTCTAACTTTAACTTCTGGGAGTTTGATGTGATTTCTTGGTACCCAGTAGAGCTCTGCTGCCACCTGGACATGAGTAATAGTAATTTGACCTTCTGGGTTCTACATTAATCTCTCCTTATTTCTCCTTTCCTTTGTAGTCACTAATGACAGATGAAACTATTGCAAATGTGCCTATCCTAATTCTTGGTAACAAGATTGACAGACCTGAAGCCATCAGTGAAGAGAGGTTACGAGAGACGTTTGGCCTCTATGGCCAGACAACAGGAAAGGTAATGCTCCCTTTTCCTTTGTGGGTTTGTTTTTGTGGGTTATTTTTTGTTAAGGAGTGAGTTTGTCTTACATTTGTGTTGACTCCAGTTCACTCCAACTACATAAAATAAATGGGGTTTGATTTATAAAGTACTTGGTACATAATGACCATATACAGACTGAATTCTGGCATCTCTGTGTGCCTGTTAGCTGCATTCCTACTACAACTTTCTACATCATATTCACTGCCATTTTTTTTCAGAGAGAACTTAACTGTACTTAGGATAATTTTTATACTTTAGCTTTCCTATGCAGTGTTTTTAAATGATGGGCAAGCTCTCAGAGGCTACAATTGTGAGAGCTGTATGAGAAAACCAGATAGAGTCTTTCAGTTAGTGACTTTTCTCATTTGAAATGCAGACTTAGTACAGTTAAGTACTTAACGTGTTTATCTCAAGCTTAGAAATAGGTTTACACTGTTGTAAAAGCCTGAGTTTTGAGGTTGTGAGAGGAAAAAAAGTTCCTACTGGTGTCTGTAACAACAAGGCAGATTTGTATTGCAGATCTTTGTGATACTGCAACTCTTCTTAATTTAAATACAGCCTGCTGCTTGTAGGAGACATTTGGATACAGGGCACTAGAAACGAGTTGCTCTCCTTTGCCCTTGGAAAGACATGTCCCTGCAGCTGGCAGAGCTCTTCCAGTGTGGCTCCTGTCCCAGCTCCTGTTAGATGACTGAGGAGGGCACAGGTCCTGTAATTCCTCTTTGCTTGTTCACTCTTAGATGCTTCCCTCAAATCTCTGAAACAGTCAGGGTTTAGGCTGAGCAGGAGCAAATCTTCACCTTGTTTTCTATGTAAAAGACAACAGGTTAGTTTTAGAATGGGCTATAAACAGTTACTGCTAACTACTTATTATTCTTTTTTATCTTGCCCTGGTTTTGACAACACTGCACATAGTCTATGAAGTATAAATACCACTGTGAATCTCCAGTTGAGCAACAGCTTTATCTCACTGTGCTGATCTTGGCAAGCAAGCAGCTTGCGCTCTTGCTATGGTCAGTCCTACAATTGGTAGCAAATGCTCTTTTCATCTGCTTGGAAAGCTTTAGGAACAGAGCAGGGAACTGCAGCTGAAAACCAAGCACTCACACCCTCTGTGTATATGCTTGGTTTGGAGAGAGTGAAGTATATGGAACTAGAATGCAAATCATAGAATCACAGGATGCTTTGGGTTGGAGGGGACCTTAAAGCTCCCCCAGCTCCAACCCCTGCCACGGGCAGGGACCCCTGCCACTGGAGCAGCTTGCTCCAAGCCCCTGTGTCCAACCTGGCCTTGAGCACTGCCAGGGATGGGGCAGCCACAGCTTCTCTGGGCACCCTGTGCCAGCGCCTCAGCACCCTCACAGGGAAGAGCTTCTGCCTAAGAGCTCAGCTCAGTCTCCCCTCGGGCAGGTTCAAGCCATTCCCCTTGCCCTGTTCCTATAGGCCCTTGTCCCAAGCCCCTCTCCAGGTTTCCTGCAGCCCCTTTAGGCACTGGAGCTGCTCTAAGGTCTCCCCTTCAGGAGCCTTCTCTCCTCCAGGCTGAGTTTTACACCAGTACTGTAACTTGGAACACTGCTGTCTCCCTGCAGGGCAGTATACCATTGAAAGAACTGAACGCCAGGCCGCTAGAAGTGTTTATGTGCAGCGTGCTGAAGAGACAAGGCTATGGAGAAGGCTTCCGCTGGATGGCACAGTACATTGAATAATGCCAAATCCCATCCGTACGTTCTGTCCCGTGTCTGAATATTAAATCTCCTCTTTATTTGATCACTCAGTGTACGTAACTTGAATTCATTTGACTGTTTAGTTATTAAAAATACACATTTTTAGCTAATTATGTCATTTATGCTAGATTGTGAGGATTGAGGAATTACTTCAAGCAGGTTTGTAAGTACCACAACCTGTGAGCTTTCTAATCCCATGCAATGTTCTTTTGCAGCTTTTAATTTAACAAGCCTCCAGCACCATTTTTGGTCCGAGCAACTTTCCAGTACAGTACGTTTTGAATGCACTTTTTAACAGCTTAAAGACAACCTACAAACATGTGAAAACTATTTAAATGCTTATGTTTAAATTTTTTTATGTACTTTTTTGAAACTGGTTTTATAACTTTAAAGCCTATAAACCATCTTTCAAGGAATAATAAATAGCTGATGGAGAATTGCATGATGCCTTACGGTTTTCAATAATACACTTTCTTATGCAACGTCATGCAATAAATGTCAATCCCCGTTTTGGCTACTTCAATGGAAAATGTTTCCTTTTAATGTGTCTTAACCAGTGAGGCTGCCTGATGACCTGGATATGTGGGATATGTTCCTGTAACGCAGGAGGCCCCAAAGTAGTTTCATTGTGTGTTAGAGTGAGGTGGCTTTTTCAGACTAGCAAGTTGCATTTAGCAAAGAGTTTTGCATTAGGAAAAGGGAAGAATCTGATCTGATGCCCTTATAACCACCACCTTTAAAAAGTACAAGTAATGTCAATCAGTTCTGCCAGTGTGAATCTTGAACTAATGTCAGAAGTGGTCTTGCTCTGCTGGTCTCTTGAATTAAACCCCTGAAGCAACACAAGAAAGAAGAAATTAAGGACTCCATTGCACTAAACCTTCTGTTCCCAATTCAGTCAGGTTTGGGGTCTGCCAGGAGGTTTGCCTGTGAAACTGTCAGGAGCTAAGGAAATGTGACCATTGCTGCTTGTAAAAATGAATTAGCTCACACTCAACTGGGCAGGTTTAGTTTTGGTGGCTTGAACTGGGCCAAGCTGGGATGGTTTTGGCGTGTTTCCCCTGCCACCCAGCCGGTGTGGCTGCTGGCTGCCCATGTGGCTTGCTTCTGGGGTAGAATTGGGTTCTCTGCAGCCTTTATTTCCAGGCTCATGACTGGTTTTCCCTGTCTTTGAGTGCATCAGTTCCCCAAGGAGAAAGCAGGTTACTGTCAAAGAAAGGGCACTGAAGCACATGTATCTGTCAACATCTTGATGCTGGCTGACACTGCCATGGAGCTGTGGTTGGTGCTTCCCTGGGCTGGGGATGTTTAATCTGTTAAAGGGAGGTAGGGTTTCAGCCCTGGAGCTCCCGTTTCATTGCAATGGGCTTGAGTTTCACTGTGTAGCTCATTTTCCCCTCGGACAAGTGTTTTTAGCTGAATCCCTTTTACTCAGCTGCTGTAGGTCATCTCCAAAATACTTTGGGCTTTTTGTTTGCAGTATCCATGGCAGCAAATAGATTTGACTGGTTTGATTTCATAAATAACTTCCTTGACCTGCTGGGCTTCAGTGCCAGGCTCCTAGCAAATAAATGAGACTTACTCCTTGCCCGCATCTGAACTTGTCTGATTGAATATTGATGATCAGTTCCCCACAGTCCTAGACTGTGCATCTGAATGAGATGAATAATTCAGAACCTAACTAATGTAAATTGTAACTGAAGCTTATTACTGCACAATCATATGCAGAGCGTTAAGCCTAGTTTGTGCATGGTAAAGTTCAGAGTGACAGGTATCTGATAGCTTTTCCAAATCATAGAATCATATGACCAACATAAGAGGATTCTGCATTTAAACTAGTGCTCAGCTGCAATGTCTCTGACGCATAAATCAAAACGGGAGGTAAGAAATGGCCTCTCACCAGCATGTGGACAGTATGTGAGTCTTTACTACCTGTAGCTGTCACGTAGGGGACAGGCCTCTTATTTTCCCCTCTGGCTTTTTCTGGTGGTGGTTATAATGCAGAGCACAGCAGCTAAATCAATACATGGTGTAAATATTAAAAGAACTTACTTGCAGAGTCACATTGTGGTGGTGTGGGAGACTTGGGACTGTGTTGCCTGTGCTTTATGGAAATGAAGCTGGAGGTGGAGGTGTTCTGCTGCAGACCACTTCCAAAGGCTGAGCCATTGCGTGGGCACAGAGGGGTCCTCATCACCTTCTCTTCCAACTGACTGTGAATAACATTAGCAGTAGGATCATAGTGTTAAGAAAAGAGAAGGGAGGTGATAGTGCTTTGAAAGTGTGTGTTAAGAGTAATCCTCAGTATTATGGGAATACTCCAATTTTCATGTTTCCTCCTGTAGGATGCTAGTTTCAATGTGGTTGTAATAAGGGCATGACCAACTCTCCACCTTGTGTTTATCCACGTGGGTTTTGTGATGGTTCCCATTGTGGGAACAGCTGTCCAGCACTCAGTTAAATACACAAACAATCTTGCTCTGTTTCATTTCATTCAGTAGAGGAAGTATCTTTCTTCTGTGGTTTGTGTTCTGCTGTGCACATGAATGTGAATGGGTGTTGTGTGTCTTTGTGTGAAGACTTCATTAATAGATGGATATAACAATGAGAGTTTTTCTGGTGGTTTTCATTCCCGTACCCTCCACATCTCCCCATTCATTTATTTCTGGAGGTTGCTTACTCCTGTGATTGTGACCAGTCTTCACCTGAACAAAGCAACGTTCGCATTTGGGTCCTACTGCTATCATTTCTTTTTTCCCACTCTGGACTATGCAGAACTCAATGAAACATCACTTGAAAGAATGTGAAAAAGGAAACCCATTAATAAAGATGTTATTTATGAAGTGTCTTGTTTTGGTTTTATGTCATAACAGTTCTTTAAGAGAAATTAATTCATGTTTCTAAGATATTAATAACCACTTCTGACAAAGTGGCCTGTATTTCACTGCGGTGACCCCATACAGTAGCATCTATGGGTTGAATAAGATTTATTCTGCTTGGATTTAATTAGACTTGGGGTTTAGTGCCTATTGTGTAACTGAGATGCATTGCTGTATTTCAGGCTTGGTTGAAGGAATGTTTCAGCAACAGTAGTTGGCATTGGAGATGAGAAGGATGTTTGGGCTTTCTCATTTATCCTAATGCCAGATCAAGATTATTGCATTAATTCCTGTGTTCAGTGTTTAGGTGCTGTCTGATGTGCCAAAGGTGACCTATGGCATTCACTGGAATACAACACCTGCATGCCTGTGAGCTTTACTCTAGTCTAATAGTGGCTTGAAAGACAAATAGGGCATTTGGCATCCACTTATTTATAACTGAAGTCAGGAAAATGATGGTCATGGTCTCCAATGCCAGTGAATTCACAGGTCTGCATGAAGTCGAATTATTCTCTTGTTTGTGCTGTCAGGAGTGGTTGGTAGTTACCAACCAAAGTCCAGTACTGACTGCAACATGCTCTGATTCAGTGTAGGTGATGTAATTGTTAATTAGGGATGCAGGAGTTACATTAAAACCAGCCTCATCAGCTCACTGTCAGTGGGGAAATGTAACTTCCTTGCACTTAGATAAACCACTCTCTGCACACAGTATCTCAGCGTGGAACTGAATGTTTTCTGTTTTGAAATGTGAGTGCTATAAATGTTTAAAAGCCTAATTTATATAATAAACTGCAGAAGAAAAGCTAAAGGTGAAAGTGGTTTTTAACATATTCTTAACATGGTGCATGTTACTGTGTTATCCCATTCTGTTTTAAACTGGTAGTTATTGTCAGATTATCAAACCCAGGAGAAAAGTGTGCGTGGTCTGGTACATGGTCTGCGAGTGGGTTTGGGTTCTTCAGCTGGGTATAATAATAAATCAGTCTTTTCTTTGCTAGGGTTTCTGTTCATGTGTGCATGGAAGCAAATCCTCTGCTTGGAAAACTGCACATGGAAGAAGTGTTTCCTTTGTTTCCATTCTAAAATGCAATAAAAGGATGCGATCTGACAGGTGAACGGTGCTGCCTCAGGGTCCAGCTGCCCCCTGGGATCTGCCATGTGTGGAGTGGGGATTGCCACTGAGTTTAAGTACGTATCAAACTGAGTGCACTCGATGCTGTTGGGCCCTGCCCATGGGAAGGAGTGTTAACCTGCTGTGATAGAGAGCTGCTTTAAATCCGAACTCGATCTTCTCCTTCATTTACGTTTTCCAAATGGTTTCCTAGTTGACACTTCTGAACTAGAAGTAGCAATGCGTTTGGTGAGCAGTTATGGTCAAATAGTAATTAAAGGAGCACATCCCTTGGTTTTCCCATGACCCCATTCCTTACAGCACGTGTCCCATCACAGGAAGAAATTGGTAATGATATTTTAGAGCCTTTGGTGCTTTTCCTTCCAGGATCTCAAAGCTTTCTACCTGCTACTCCTGCCTCAACATCCCTATGAGGCAGAGGGCTCTTAACCTGTGGGGTCTGGAGGGTTTAGTTCACTCTTGGTCACTGCCTGAATAGCAAGAGCTCTCAGTGGCCACCAGCAGCATGGGATGAAGCAATGCCCCCCTTTACCTGGGACCATGTGCTAGAGTGATGCCAGGAGCCTTCATTGCATGCAAGCTACTGAAGGTGCTACACAAACCGTGTGTAAATCAGTGGTATTTTGGGTCACCTCCTCTGCGTTCTTAGCAAAAAAGCTGCTCTAAGCGTATGCCATTCACTGTCAGCTGTGTTGCACCCAACTATGACAATATTTAGTAGATAACAAGTTAAAAGAGCAACACAAAAACTTGCAATGTGTGGAGTGGGTGCAAAGCTTGGATCTACTTGTAATTTCTGATTCTCTTTCCTAAAATTGCAATGTAAATAAATGCTATCCTCGTAAAAGGAGGATTTAAAGGCATGTTTTCAGTATTGGGGCTAAATGCATCATTTTGCCAACAGCAAATAAGGATTTATATTGTTTGGCTAGGTATTTTCCCCCCACAGAGATGCTACTTCACTATCAGAGGGGTTTGATCAACTCCAGGAGCGGCATTAGCTGGAGCCAAGCCCCTTGCAGTAGGTTGTGATGGAGATGAGCTATTGGAGATGCGATCTTAGCAATTTGATGGTACTTGAGTACCTTAACCCGTGAGTAGATACGGTGACTTTATGGCCATGGGGTGTATTGTGAGAAGCTGCTGCCTGGGCAGGGATGGGATGATGCTTGCAGTAGTATGTGCAGAGGGAGAAGCTGAGCTAACAGGGTGCCCTGTCGAGAGGATCTGCAGTAGCTCAGGTTTTGTACATGGGGTTTGAGGGAAGGAAGCTGCTCCCCCAGGAGAATGTGGCTCTTATGAGGAAGGTTGGAATTTGGTTTAGGGTAAAATCATTGTTAGAGGTTTGTTGGAACCTAAAAGCTCTGTGGGAGCAGGAAATGGGGCAGCGAGCAGGCTGGAGAGGGGGTCAGCACCGGGGACCACGGCTGGGAGCTGCCCTGTGGGTTGTGTGAGCATCTCTAGGAGCAAGTTCCTGGCTATGCAATGGAGGAAGGGAAACATTAACTGGGTTGAAAGATGTTCTCTTGCCAGCAAGGTAAGAGGGAGAGCAATGACAAACAGGGCTCCCAGTGCTGCTCTGCCACAGCTTGTTCATGGGCTGACCCCAGGGCTGCTATTGGGAAACACTGGTGGTTGTGAAAGCAAAGGGGAGTGAGGGAAACTACTGATAGGAGCTGTATTCTGATCAGTCTGTGCATGCTCTGGTCATGCCATCATTTGTCAGCTGATGTGGAAATCCATCCTGCATCCTACAGCTAAGCTGGGCTTTGCTAAGCCACTGAGCAGTGCTGGTCCTGCGTGGGCCCTTCCCAAGGACAAAGCTGAGGTCACTTGTTTGATGCTTCTGACCAGAGATAAGCACAAACTGCAAAACTTCAACCCCTATATGAAGCTCTTTTATACCTGTTGGCATTTGGAGCTGCATCTTGAGCTTAAACTGTTGGTTCCAGCCCCAGTGCCCAAATGCTGTTTCCTCACTGCTTTCTCAGCAGGATTTTGGTTTAGGTTCAAAGCAATTGGAGCTGTGAAAGACTCCTGTATGTGCCATTTAACTTCTATTCCTTGCTCTGTAAGTGTATGCATGTAATATACAATATGTAAATATATATGTATGCATATATATATATAGACACAAGGTTTAAAATAAATCTGTTCAAGATACTAAGAGGCATTAACATGAAATTGCAGAGGACGCTGAGTGCCAGCCTGTGCTTGCAGCAGGTTTTAAAGGCTTAGAGAGCCTCCGAAGGAGTTTGCAGTCGAGCAAATGGAAAGCTTTTGCTTTACTGGTGAATAGGTAATTACAGGAGACACTGGGGAGATGCAGATGTGCAGCTACAGCAGGGAGAGCAGCTGGGTGCTGCCTGCGGAGCCGGGTTTATGCAGAGCAGGAGGCAAAGCTAATAATACAGCTTGCCTTTCTTTAGAGCCTCTGCTTTGTTCCTGGCACCAGAGGCACTCGGAGCATTGGTGTTCCTGCCTATGAGATGTTCACCCCGGTGCCTTAGGAAGCGTGTCCCATCCGCTGGCTCTGTTTGTGACTCTTCTGAAGAGCTCCAGAAGGAGCTTGTGTTGGTTTGACATTTGCACCCCAAAACCTGTCTCCTTTTGGATCTTATTGTGGTCTCCCTCCCATCCTTCTACCTGCTGTTACCGCTCTGTAATCCCCTTTCATTTCCTCATCTGCTATTGGAATTGCCTTCTGAGCTTAAAAACCAACAGGACTTTTCCCCCCTTCTGGCTTCCTTGGGGAGAGCTTTTCCTCAACAGTTTGATGCTTACAGTGCATGGGAGGAAATTTGCCATGGGGCCTTCTATCAGAGAAGGAATTCTGCTCGTGTTTCCAGAGCTGTTGTCAGGATGCAAGAGAGAGTCAGGATAACGCTTACACGTGTTGCTTGCCCTTATCATTTGGGGAGCAATGAGGAAAACCAGAGAGGTTCCCGTCCCTGTGGTTCATTGGAGTTCACTGCAGTGGAGTGTAACAGATCCCCATGCATGTGACTGGGATGGAGGCTATTTATGTCTCCATAAACATGGAATTATGAAACACCCGCCATGGGGATGGGGCTGCTCAAGTCCTGGCCTGACCTGCTCAGCTGTCATTGGACTTGCACCTCCTTGGGAGCGCGCAGTGGATCTGAGCTCACTGCAGGACATGGCGCTGCTGGGAGATGCTTATTGCAAGGGAAGTAGGTCAAGCAATAAAGCAAAGGATCCACCCAGTGCGTTACCAGGTAAGGGGGGAATGCGCTGGGGGTGAGTTTGTGTAATGCAACCTTACCCTGTGCACATAAGAGCCATTCACAGAAAGGAATCCCCCCAAAAAGGTAGTATTTTCTTTCGTACAGTCCAGGTGTGAAATCCTTTAAACAGGTGTGGCTGAGACCTGGATTCCTCCTGCAAAATAATAATTAAGGGGTGAAATAATAAAATACTATTATTATAAGATTGTGAAAGAAGGACAAGAAGATGTGGGAGAAATGGCTTACGGGGTTCTGTATACTTTGCTTTTGTACTTAGTAGGTGGTGCTGATGGTGACCAGCATGGTCAGCCTGCGGTGGGGAACGAATAGCTGGTCCTGCTCCAAGTCCGCTCCATCCCTGGCAGTGTTCAAGGCCAGGCTGGACGAAGCCTTGGGTACCATGGTTTAGTTGTGAGGTGTCCCTGCCCATGGCAGGGGGGTTGGAACTGGGTGATCTTAAGGTCCTTTCCAACCCGAACTATTCTTTGATTCTATGTGTCCGTTCTGCATCACTGGGACAATCCCAGGCACCTCTGCAGCAGCTCCTGTGCTGAGCCCGCATCCCAGGTCCAAAGGTCGGTGAT